GCTGGTGCTGAGGACCCTGGCGCTGGTGTCTCTGCTAGTTCTGGAGTCGCTGCACGGCCGCGGCCGTACTTCGTTCCGCTCCTTCAGCAGGTTCTTGGTCAGCTCCCTCCTCCTTGTCCTCCTCCCTCCTTAGGGTGTCCTTCGTCTGTCCAGCTACAGTCGCAGCTACCGTCAGCCTCCTCTCTCCCTGGTCCTGCTCCTTACATTGGTCCGACTAGAGGTCTTACTGAGCGTCGTGAGCCTGAGTCTCCTCCTGCGTCGCCTGAGTCTCGTCGTGCGTCGCCTGTTCGTGCTGCTCTAACTGGTAGTCGTGTCCCGCGTCAGCGTCTTCCTGCTGTCCCACGCACTCACTGGATGGCGCTTCGTCCTTCCACTGCTCCACAGCGTGTCCCACTGCCGTCTCCTCCTCCGTTCTCTCTTTCTACTCTTGCTGACCCGGGGTCCGACTCCCTTCGTGCTGCCAGTCCTACTGTCACGCGTCTCCTGGCTACTGTTGTCACTCACCCTTCCTTTGAGTCCGCTGCTGCGTCTGCCTTAGTTGCTTAGCTTGTCGACTTTGCTGCCACCTGTCGTCTCGACTACGCCGCTAGCCTAGTTGCTGAGTCTGAGTCTGTCTGTCATCCGTCCGTCGGAGGTGAGTGTGCTCTTGGCACTGCCGTCCTTGAGGACGGGCAGGAGGAGTTTGAGTGCTTTGCTGCCGCTTTGCCCCATCTCGTGTCCATGCTTGTTGCCCCTGAGGGAGACCCGGATGCACCAGACATCCCGACCCCACGCTCTTTCGCAGAGGCGATGGCCGGTCCCTACTCCTCTCAGTGGCAGACAGCCATGGACTCAGAGATGGCTTCCTGGAAGTCCACAGGCACCTGCGTCGACGAGGTTTTCCCCCCAGGGGCGAACATCGTCAGTGGCATGTGGATTTTCAGGGTGAAGCGGCCGCCGGGCTCTCCGCCTTTCTTCAAGGCGCGTTACGTTGCACGAGGCTTCAGTCAGCGAGAGGGAGTTGACTTCTTCCACACCTTCTCCTCGACCCCGAAGATGACCACTCTTCGGGTTCTGCTGCACGTCGCCGCTCAGCGTGACTACGAGCTCCACTCTCTTGACCTCAGCACGACTTTCCTACAGGGCAGCCTGCACGAGGAGATCTGGGTGCGCCGCCCACCTGGCTTCACTGGGTCGTTCCCTCCTGGTACCCAGTGGAGCCTCCAACGGCCAGTCTACGGTCTCCGCCAGGTGCCACGTGAGTGGTACGACACACTGAGGACTACACTTGCGGCTTTTGGGTTCGCGCCTTTTAGTGCTGACCCGTCGCTGTTTCTACGCATCGACACCTCACTGCTAGCATTCTACATCCTCGTGTGCGTCGACGACTTGGTCTTTGCCATTGCTGACACTGCGGCACTCGCTCACGTGAAGTCGGAGCTGCAGAAGAGACACACGTGCACAGACCTGGGTGAACCGACAAGCTATCTTGGCTTGCGGATCACTCGGGACAGAGCACGCCACACCATCACCTTCACTCAGTCACACATGGTGCAGCAGGTCCTTCAGCACTTCGGCTTCACGTACTCCTCGCCTCAGGCCACTCCTCTGCCTACTCGCCACTCGCTCTCAACTGTGCCTTCGGATGAGCCGTAGAGTCGAGTGGCCCGTATCCAGAGCTTGTTGGCTGTCTCATGTACCTGATGACCTGTACTTGTCCTGACCTTGCATACCCTCTTAGCATTCTCGTGCGCTATGTTGCTTCTGGGAGACACAGACCGGAGCACATGGCCGCAGCGAAGAGGGTGTTGCGCTACTTGTGCAGTACGTCGGGCATGAGGCTTGTGCTTGGAGGGCAGAGTCTAGTGGTCCTCACTGGGCACGCAGACGCTTCTTGGGCCGACGACCAGGCTACGCAGCGGTTGTCACAGGGCTACACCTTCAGCCTTTGTTCCGGCTGTGTTTCTTGGCAGGCTACGCGCTCGTCTTCTGTTCTCGGCTCCAGTTGTGAGGCTGAGATCTACGCCGGGGCCATGGCTGCACAGGAGCTTGGCTGGCTCACCTACCTGCTTACTGACCTCGGAGAGCCGCCTCGTTCTCCTCCAGTGCTGTACGTAGACAACAAGGCCATGCTGGCCTTGTGTCGAGAGAAGAGACTGGAGCACAGAACGAAGCACATTGCTCTTCGCTACTTCCTTGCTCGTGAGCTGCAGCAGCGTGGTCAGCTGCGTCTTGCGTACGTGGCCTCTGAGGCCAACACTGCTGATATCTTCACCAAGGCGCTTGTGCCTTGTGATCATTAGCGCTTCTGTACTCAGCTGGGTCTTGTGCCTGTCTTGCCTCACTTGCTCACCTCTTGACCTTGCTTGTACTGCTACATATATATATACTCCTGGTCTTGCTTGTCTAGCCTTTTATATATATGTGTGTACTCCTGCATGTGAACTGGTCTTGTGGCCTTGACCTTGTGCTCGGACTGTGTGGTTACTTTGTGATCCACCCTGAGCTTGCTTTGCTTTGCTTTGCTTGACTGGTCTTGTGACCCCTTGTACCCCCCCACTTTGCCTATGGGGGTGTGTCAGATTTATGACATATCTATTGTAGGCTATAGTGGGGTAGCACATATGGGGTAGAGCCAGGGCCTTAGATTGGTTTTTGGGTACCGTGAGCACTCATTGTCTCTAGGAGGGTAACACTGATTTTCAGTGTCGTCTAGTGTGAAACACTTATATTCCAGGGTTGTTAGAAACAAAACGCTGATCAATCAGGGTTTCTAAAACTTCAACCCTGATCAGCATAGTTGCTTATACTGGTATGTTGTCATAACACAGCGAATCAGACTGCCCTCACTTAACAATTCCCAAATTCGGCCAAAATTTTGCTACTTCCGTGTCTGATTGGTCAGAAATCTTGTCTGACCAATTGAATAGGACAATTGTTAACAGATGTTTCCGTTCTCTGGTTGTTGTACTTGACTGATGATTCGGACTTGGGTCGTCACAGCAGATTCGCCCTAACAGCAAATTCGACCTTGCACAGTCGTTACGCGCTGTCGCAGCACAGCTAATTCGCCCAATCACAGCCATTATTTTCCCTGACACTGCAGCAGATTCGCCCCTCATACAAGAGATTTGCCTTGTCAGAGCATGTTTCGCCAGAAATCCCCTTGGTGCACGGTGACGGCGGCCCAAAACAAGGAGTTTTCGGTTTCAGGGTAGACCCCGATACAACACTGAAACGTCAGTGTCCTCAAACACAAAACACTGGAAAATCAGAGTTCGAAATAAAAAAACACTGAAACATCAGGGTCATTGAAAAAAAAAGGCTGATGCATCAGGGTCATGATAAAAAACGGGGGTGAAACTTCAAGAATTCAGGGTAAAATTCCTGACATCTGAGGCACTGGGTACAGCTTTCTAGGGTTTGTATTTGTACCCAACTTTCACTTAGTCATTCCATTTTCTCGTTTCAGTTTTCTCAGAATGTATAGCGAAACTACAGTGGTAACTGTAATGGACTGTGGTTGTCGCGTGATGGGCCTAGGACTGAGGTTGGGAAAAGTGTCGAAGCGGAGGCCCGGAGCACGGGTTACTCGCCGAGCCGTGAGGTCGGGGTGCGACGTGCAAAGGTGGCGGGAGTATTGTCGATGCGAGAGTTGCGAGTGGTAACGGTGCTGACTGTGGTGCTATATGTTGGAAATAAGAAGTCGCTAGAGCGCAGCGGAAGCTCTAGGAATTAACGTCGTCCCTACGGCGGGGCTATTTGTCACTCAGAGGTAGCTCTCCTGGCTTGTAACGTGGTGCCAAAGCAGCGGCCGAGGGTAGGCCGGACACAAGCTTGAGAATTGTGTAATATGAGCAAGGCATTACATTCTGTTATATAGCAAACGCATAGGGCAAACTGTTACCAAGGCGCAACTGTATAACAGTTGCGCTGCGTCGCTTGGGTTGCCTTGTTACAGTCGCGCTGGCGAGACTTTTCAGCTTCGGCAAGGGCGCGGTATCCGGCCGCGTCCAACAGGTCAGTTTCGCGTACTGTAGACGATGACTCCTGCTGTCGATTCGACTCTTGAGCTGCCACGCGGGTCGCAACCGCTGTGCTCGGTTGCGCCCTGTTGACTCGCCACCAGTTTCAAATCCCTCACTATGGCGAGCCCCTGTAAACACACTTCGAACAGTGCACTTATAATAAAAGCATACAAACATATTCTCAACACTATAGTGGTGTACGCACTTAGCGGGGACGCGAAGGGAAAGGGATTTTCCTTACATGAGCGAAGGCATGAGCGAACATTTATATGTGAAACATGCAAACGGTAACGCGGTGCGTGCGAGCTAGCTAGTGCTATGCTGGCAGCGAGCCTCGGGCTAGTCCCGAAGCGTAGGCCGACACGGCCGGGCTAGCAGTGCGAGGTTTGGTGAAACAGTGCGCGCGAAGTCGGCGAAGCCCCGTTAGCAGTAACGGGCGAACAACGGCTGCTGCTGTACGCGGTGTTGCAGGGTGCGCTAAGGAATATCGAGAAAATCCCTTACTTACAATTGTAAAAATATGTGAAAATAAGGTTTATCTTGAGACCCCGTCAATACCATACGGTGACTCCATGACATAGTGCGAGAATGGACTGAAACGCGTGGAGAAGTTCCTGAATGCAAGAAATGAAATAATGAACGAAATAACAAAACAATAGGCAGGCGCACTGAGGGACAGAATCCTGCATACGGTAATTGTGCGGCACTCATGTTGAAACTCCAGCAGCACACGCGGTGGTTGGGAGATAAACTTGGGAAGTTGGAAGGACTTCTCCTTGCAACCAATCACCATGTACTCTTTATCTCCCTCCACCGCCATCGCCCCTCCACCATCACTCTTCACCATCACCCCTCCATCCTCCAGCCTCCACCCTCAAAACCTCTCTGCAGCCTTTTCCTTGAAACCAGCCACAAAAACCCCTCAAGCACTCTCTTGTCAACTGCGCTCCCCTGACCTCTTCTCTTCCTCTCCCTACCCCTTCACTACTCGTCTCATCCCTTTTTCCCCTTGCCTTTCCCTTTCTTGCCTTTGCCTGACCCTCCCAAGCCCTTGAGTCCTTTCATAACAGCGTCTGCTGCCTTCTTTAGAGGCCCCCCACCACTCTTCCCTCCCCCTCCCCCTCCCCCTCCCCCTCCTCCCCCTCCCCCGCCTGCCCCGCCTTTTGCACCACCACCACCTTTCCCCTTCCCTTTGCCTCTTTTCTTGCCGCCCATTTCTTGGCTGCCCGGGTCAGCAGCCCCATTCCCAGGGTCGAATGGCGAGTCACTGTTGCTGCCCGCATCCTGTGGATCAACACTGTCAGCCCCAGCACCTGTGAGAGGGGAGGGAAGGGGAGGAGAGGGGATGGGGGAGGTGAAATCGAGAGGCCTCAGTTGCTGCCCGCATCTTGTGGATCAACACTGTCAGCCCCAGCACCTGTGAGAGGGGAGGGGAGGAGACGGAAGGGGAGGAGAGGGGAGGGGAGGGGAGGGGAGGGGAGGAGAGAGGAGGGAGAGGCGAGAACGAGAGGAAGGTAGGGAAATGGAAATGGGGATGAGGGCAGCATGGGGACACACTCAGAATTCAACGGCAGCGGGTGTTTGATAACTAAGAAGAACTCCTTTAGAACATTCACAGCACGAACAAACACATAGTATAGGTGATCCACCCGTACCTTGGCACTTGGAGGCATCGATTCCGCCGCCCTGAATGAGCGGCACGCACTGCAGCCCGGTGCGGCACTTGCCCATGCCTGGGGGGCAGCGGAAGGAGCGGCAGAACACCGGGTCCTCGTCCCCTGGAACAGGCTTGTCACTGCTTGTACTGCTGTCGCTGTTGCGGCTGCCTGTACTATTGCTGTCGTTGCTGTTGCTCGCAGGGTCGGGGTGGATGCAGTCGCTGCTGCCGTCGCACCACCGGCGCTCCGCCAGGCACTGCCAGCCGTTGCGGCAGCGGCGCTGGCCCTCGGGGCACACCAGCGCCACACACATGGCGGGATCCTCATCGTTGAATGCCTCTCGTGAAGTCGATGCTGATGATGCTGATGGCGCTGGCACTGCTGCTGCTGCTGCTGCTGCTGGTGGCAGGGATGGTGGGGAGGAGGAGGGGGCTGGAAGGCAGTCAGAGACGCCATCACACCAGTGGTCGCGAGCCACACACTGCACTCCGTTGCTGCACTTCCTGCCCCAATCAGGACAACTCCAGGTCGCACACACACCCGGATCCTCATCCTCTCCAGTTACCACTGCTGCCACCGCACTCCCCTTCCCACTGCTGCTGCTGCTACTCAGACCAGCTTTTACGGTAACGTTTCCTTTTTTGGTAACGGGGCAGTCGATGATGCCGTCGCACCACCGGGTGGCATCCAAGCATTTACTGTTCACTGCGCACCGCACCGTGCCCTCAGCGCACACGTGCTTTGCGCACATGGACGGGTTTTCATCCTCTGTATAAGCCGCAGGCGTAGCTCCTTTATAAGCTGCTCCGTGAGAAGCAGTCGAAGCGCTGCCGGCAGCAAAACCTGCTGTTCTTGTGGCTGCGGCTGCTTCTAGCACTGCTGTCATTGCCTTGGCCGCTTCTCTAACCGACATATATTTTCCGGTCACCAGGTCTACACTCGGGCAGTCGTTCTCACCGTCGCACCACAGCTTCTCGCTCACGCAAACGTACCCGTTCAAACATTTCCGGTAGCCCGGCGGGCAGATGAAAAAGCTGCAGAAGAGGGGGTGTTCATCGATGGAATAGGGAAGCATGGGGGAGGCAGCGGAAGAGGAGGAGAGGGCGGAGGAGGAAGCCAAGGGATCAGCCTCCAGGGGACAGTCGTTGATGCCATCACAGAGAGCACCCTTCATGCAGGAGAAAGCGGATGAGGAGGAGGAGGGGGAGGAGAAGGGGGAGGAGGGGCAGGAGATGAAACCAGGCGGGCAGGTTGCAGGCTCGTTCTGTGTTTCTGAGAGGTTTCCATCAGTATCGCTTGTCTCCTCTGCTCCCCCCTCCCCCTCCCCCTCCCCCTCCCCCCTCCCCCTCCCCCTCCCCCTCCCCCTCGACCTCCCCTGCTCCCTCCGCCTCCCCCACTTCCTCCCCCGCCCCGTCCTGCAGTGGCGTCTTCCCCGCACACGCCACGTCGCTCTCGTCCGACCCGTCAGCGCAGTCCACGTGGCCGTCACACGTCATCCACGTGCTAAAGCACGCGCTGCCATCCGCGCACGCCGTCTGCCCCGCCATGCAGGGCGCGGGACACGTGGAACCCACATCCACGCACGTGCCTCCCTTCCCCTCGCTATTGTCACTTTCACTGGTGCTGCTGCTGCTGCTGCTGCTTCTGCTGCTAATCTTGCTACTGCTGCTGCCGACGCTACCGCTGCTTGTGGCGATGCTGCTGCTGCTGCTGCTGCTGCTGCTAGCGCCGCTGCCGCTGCTCGATGTTGTACGCAAGGCCGTTATGCGCGCCCCGTCCGCGCCCGAGACCGCAATCCGCGCGCCGTAGCACCGCCGCTGCCCGCGCGGGCACGGCGGGGGCGCGGTGATGATCGAGGGGAGGTCCTCTTGCGCCCACGCCACGAGGATGGCGGGGGAGAAGGCGGCGAAGGGGAAGGTGGAGAAGGGGAAGGCGGAGAAGGGGAAGGCGGAGAAGGGGGAGGCGGAGAATGGGGGGGCGTAGGGGAAAGGGGAGGGGAGCGAGGGGAAGGGTGCGGAGAGGAGAAGCAGGAAGACGAGGAGTGCGCGGATGGGATGCGCGAGGAAGCCGAGCGTGGAATGCGGCGGATGACGCGGAGATACTGTAATTCGGAAGAAAGAAAGCGATTCTCTCAAGAGGGAAAGCTGCGGCTGCGACTGCTGCGACTGTAGCCGTCCCAGCCGTCTGAACCGTTTGCTCCAGCAAGAGTCCGCGTTCTGCGGGCTGCTCCTGCTGAGAAGCGGCTCCCAGCCGCACGATAGTGTCACATCCCCAACCGTCACAGGGTCGGCTCGGCAAAGGTCGTCATCTACAGCAGTCGAGGGGGTGTAGCAACGCTCGCTATAGTCACTATAGAGGGGGTTACTATAGTGAAGGCCAACGCAATCACCGCAGTCGCTTCTTTGCAAAAGTTCGCGGCAATTCAGGGCCCATGGCGAAGAATGAGTCGTACCCCCTGGACAAGAGCAGCACGTGCGTTCTGGACAAGAGCAGCACGTGCGTTCTGGACAACAGCGGCGTGTCGAGCCGCCTTGACCATGCCAGGAACACGAGTTTTGTGCCCCCTCGTCGCTTGCTCTGTCGTCGCCTGCTCTGTCGTCGCCTGCTCTGTCGTCGCCTGCTCTGTCGTCGCCTGCTCTGTCGTCGACTGCTCTGTCGTCGCCTGCTCTGTCGTCGCCTGCTCTGTCGTTGACTGCTATGTCGTTGATTGCTCTGTCGTCGCCTTTCCTGTCGTCGAGGCGCGCATCTCCTGGACCCACGAGAGCTAAGAACGCCATTTTGCGAACGAAATTCGGTGAAAGTACCCACGAAAGCTAAGGACGCATCGTCATTGCGTGCCGGAGTTAATGAACTGACTTGCGGACGAAGGGTCTTTCTGGAAGCCTGGGCGAAGCCCCGTTAAAGCCCCGGGCTCTACAATCACGCATCAAGTCGTGGTCCCTATGACATGACGCCCCCCGTGCCGCTCTAGTTAGCTTCTAGCAATGGAGTGTCGAATCCTGTGGATCGGGTCGGGTGTGGAGAGGAGAAATCGAGTCAAAGCACTCTCCATAGCAGAAAGCAGACAATTTTGCTGCGATGGGTTTGCGACATTACACCTGACATTGAACGACAAGCCGACGACGACCGTACGACTTATGTGCGATTGGAGTAAACTAGACAAGAATCTAGCGCAGGGAAGGTTCGGCAGTTGAAACAAACTGTACCGTATCAGAACACGCTGCACCGAACTGGATTACACGACCTGCTGTGTCTACGACCCGCTGATGAAGCCTGTACATGTGAATGTTGTGTGTGGGTGTTGTGTGTAGAGCAGGCCTGTCGAAGTTCCTGGGACCCATACTTGCGCTCCCCAGCTCCTCCCCATCTGACCCTGTTTTTGGTGTAGCTGAGCGTTTGGGCGCCCTTAACGGTCACGGGCGCACCCCAAAGTGAAAACTTAAAATCCGGGCCTGTGAAGAGTTTGCACTTAGACGCGAAGGGAAATTTTGGGTGCTCTAAAGCTGACTTTCAAACACGGGATGGCTAGAAAACGCTTAGGGAAAAATTCCACTCCTCTCGTGCAACACAAGGAGGAAAGGGGGGGGGGGGGGAACACTTGGACAATAAGGGACAATTCGGGTGCTCCAAGCCGACTTAGACGCTTTACAAGCATAGGATTGGCTAGAAAACGCTAAGGGAAAAATCCACTCCTCTCGTGCAACCTAAGGAGAAAGGGGGCGGGGTCAGGCAGAATTTGGGGGGGTGGTGAGTCCAACCAGAAAGCCAAAACTTCGAGACAGGGGAAGGCCCTGTTTGGGCCCTTCACGCATCCGGGGGAGGGTCGAGCGCGGCACTTAGTGGCACGGGTGCAGGGCGAATCTAACACTTTTGGCAGTCGAGCTGGAGCGAAAGTAGCCCGGAATGTTCAGGGCATTAAGGGCATATGCCTTTGAATCGACAGACCTGGTGTGGAGTGCAGAATGGATTGTCGGTCGGTGGGTGTCACTGCAATGCGATGCGACGCGACGCGAATCGATGGGAAGGGAGACATGCGAATGCGATAGAAACAAACAGCGCAAGGTTGTGAGAACGTAACGTCAAGTTCGACCCGCAGGTGATCCCTCAGCTGCTTTGGCCTGATTGGGCCAGGTCCCACGGATAAGGATAGGGCGAAATAAGCAATTTTTAGCACTGGCATATAATAGCAGAGTCAGTGCAAGGCTTCACAACTGAACCTTAAAACAATTAGAATCATGTTAATGTTCAGCGGACACAATTTCATCCAACATGAACATTCATCCACCTAATCCAAAGAACAGCTATTATACACAAACAAAAGACGAGCTTTTCTTGCCGTGCCGCTTCAACATGCGCCCTCTCATCCAACTTAATTTCCCCCCCCACGCTTAGGCACAACGATTCCCGTTGGTTTCACTTTTTGCTTGACCTTGTCCACTGCTGCTTTTACCTTGTCTGCCTGTTTTTTCACCTCCCCTGATGCATCCACCTGGCTCCCCTTTCCACTCCCTGCATTATCCCCACTTCCTCCACTCCCCTTTCCCTTCCCACCATCACTCCCCTTCCCCTTCCCACCACCACTACCCTTTCCTCCGCCCTTCCCACCCTTCCCACCCTTCCCGCCCTTCCCACCACCCTTCCCACCACCACTCCCCCCGCCAGTCCCTCCGCTCGCGCCTCTCTGGCCGGGGCCCAGGGGACCATCCCCCACGCGGGTGATGGTGGCGCCGCTGGTGGGAAGGCCTGTGCGGGGGTCTGTGCTCGCACATGCACGACAGGGGGAGGGGAGAGGGACAGAGGAGAGAGGGCAGGGGAGGTGTGAGCGGGAAGAATGGGTTGAAGGGGAGGGATACAGACTGGGTCAGTGAGCCTACTGCTGTTACTACAGCCTTCCCTGATATGCTGAAATGATAAAAACACAACAGAAACCCACGAAAATCAAGACATTCTCACCTATGGGTCGGGTGAAGCTGCTGCACATCGCCGGGTCTTCATCCTCCGTATAAGGCAGGTCGGGATTCGTTACAGGGCAGTGGTTCTTGCCGTCGCACATGGCGCCCGGGCGGCAGATGAGTGGCGAGGAGGGGCACTTGAAGGTGCCACGTGGACACCTGTAAGTGGAGCAGAAGTCCTCACCCTCCTCTGACCCGCTCTTGCAATCGTTCACTCCGTCGCAGAACTTCCGAGTGGCAATGCACTGCACGTCTGCGGGGCAGGCAGCCTGGCGAGGGGCGGAGGGAAACGGAGAACAAGGAAGGGCGAGAAGGTGGAGGGCAGAGAGAAGTGCAGGGGAAGGAGGCGATGAGCAAAGCACCATCATGAGGAGAAAGAAGGCCGATTCACCAGCCCAACTCACCCCAATCACCAGCGCCTGCTCAAACCAGCCTCCACTCACCAGTCCCTGCGCCAGGCAGCCGCTGATGAGTTCGCAATCGTCGCCCAACTCGTCGGATCCGTCGTTGCAATCCTCCTGCCCGTCGCACACCGCCTCGTCTAACCCACCCACTAGCCTCTGCTCTGATTAGCCTCTGCCCAGCCTCGACTCAAGCCATCTCCCCACTCACCAGCCCCTGTACCAAGCACCCGCTGATGAGTTCGCAGTCGTCGCCTGTCTCGTCGGACCCATCATTGCAATCCTTCTGGCCGTCACACACCGCTGAGTCCCACCCACCCTCTAGCCTCTGTTCTTACTAGCTTCTGCTGATACCGGCCCTCACTCACCAGCCCTTGCGCTAAGCATCCGCTAATCAACACACAATCGTTGCCTGTCTCGTCCGACCCATTGTTACAATCCTTCTGGCCGTCACACACCGCCTCGCCCAGCACGCACCCGCTTGAAGGGGGAGAGAAGGCATAGATCACCACCCCCAGTAACCACCCCCAGTCACGAGTCCAACTCACCAGTCCCTGCGCGAGACACCCGCTGATGAGTTCGCAGTCGTCGCCTGTCTCGTCCGACCCATCGTTGCAATCCTCCTGCCCGTCGCACACCGCCGAGTCCGGCACGCACCCGCTGTTGTCGTGGCAGCGGAACTGCCCCGCCGTGCACTGCAATGATTGCAGGGAGAGCGTGCAGAGCATGCCGATCTGGGGGGCGGGGGGGAGGGGTGGGTGGGGGGTAAATGGGGAGGGGTGGGTGGGGGGTAAATGGGGAGGGGAGTGAGTGGGGAAGGCACGCACCCGCTGCTGGCGTGGCAACGGAACTGCCCCGCCGTGCAGTGCAATGATTGCAGGGAGAGCATGCAGAGCATGCCGATCTGACGGGGAAGGGGGAGGGCGAGGGTGGAAGACACGGGCAGAGCACAGGGAGGGGAGTGAGGGGGGAAGGCACGCATCCGCTGCTGTCGTGGCAGCGGAACTGGCCCGCTGTGCACTGCAGGGAGAGCGTGCAGAGCATGCCGATCTGCGGGGGGAAAGGTAAGGAAGGAGAGAAAAAGGGTGAGCGAGGGAGGCACGCGCCGACAGACAGCATGGCAACACAAAGCCCTGTCTTGACTGAAAGCGCGCGTGGCTCCGCTAGCAAGCAAAGCAACGTGAAAGAAGAGTGATATTGAGACGTCTCAAAAACACTCTTCTTTCACGTGGCTCCGCTATCCGCCAAAGCGCTCGAAACACAAGCGAGAGTTTCATTCAACTCCGCCGTATCAACCGTCGTTTGCACATCACGGTAGCGAGGGTTTCAACTCTTTAGCGATGGTAACGAATCGCACCTTGACGCACGCGCCGTTGCTGCACCGCCGCTCCCCCGTGGGGCACTCCGCCACGGCCGGCGGCGAGTCGGGGTCCGCCGCCGTCCCCGCCCCCCCCGCGCACGTCGAGTCCTCCGCCGGGCACTTGGGCGGCGGGGTGTAACTTCCGCTGATGACGTCATCTCCCGCATCGCCGCCGTCTCCGCCGGTTGTGCTGCCGGCCGTGGACGTGCCAGCGACGCCGGTGGATCTTCCGGACGTCGCGAAGGAAGCGGCGGCCTGCGAGGGGAGGGGGAATGGGAGGGACAGAAGGGCGAGAGGGAGGGGCGGGAGGGGAAGTCTTGTTTTGAGCCGCCTCAAAACAAGATGTCGCGGCGGAAGAGGCGGCCTGCGAGGGGTGGGGAAACGGGAGGGAGCAAAGGGCGGGAGGGGAAGAGAGGAACGCGGGTGGGAAAGGTAAGGGTTGGGAGGGGGAAATGTAGGACGAACCCTTTCGAGACGTTTCGCTGTCCCTTCCCAGTCGAGAGTCTGTTGGCCCGACGTGCGTGAAGCTGGAGGAGAGAAGGCGGGGAGGACGGAGAAGCTGCGAGAAAAGGAGGCCAGATGTTAAGGTGTAAGGAGTCGCGCCATAATTTTTTCCTCGGCGTATTGGAGGCCGGATGTAAGAAGGACTGGGTCTTATTTGTGGGATGCACAGCGGAAAAGAAATTTAGTGTCGTTTTCAACAGCGGTCTGCGACGAAGCTCGCGGCGGGGTTACTGAGCTTGCGATGGGGTTACCACCTCGCTAAGCAGCTGACAAATCAACCGGTCTTTTTAGCGTAGGGATTCAACCCGTTTCAGCGGAAAAAAGGAGCACCCACGAATATGGGACTACTAGCGGTGCAGCGGAGCACTAATAGCGCGAATCCCCACAAAGATGGTTCGGATGGCATTCATACTGCTCGGCGGAGTAGTAGCACCCGTGGCTGCGCGGACAGGAGGTGGTAGACGGTGGGGGGCTATTCAATATCTTTCTTGTGAGAAAGTATACATAAGGCACGCAGGTGTGTTGATAGGTGGCGGATGGCTGGGGGCTACTCGGATTTACCTCTGTGAGTGGAAGTGCCAACGACGCGAGGAGCAGCGCGCCGAGTGACCAAACTAGTAACGGAGTTAATCTCCTCTGGCACATCCGCGCAAATCGTGCCGCTTGCTCGCCATCTTTCCGTGAGACATCCATTTCGACGTTTCGCTCGTTAATCTCCACTCCACCCAGAGAGCCAAATAGGATTCTTCCTTTTGCTTTCCTTCTTAGCAACCAATACTGCTTTTACGTACTACCTGACTCCCCTACACCCTAGGTCGTTAGGCAGCTGCTATGGTCTACTAGGTTAGGCAGTCTACTGATAAGTCCTGGTTAGCGAGGTTCCTGTTTCCTTCAGGTGGGATGGGGTGGGGTCGCGCTAGGAGCAGAGAGCGAGGTTTAGGCTGGTTTGGGGTGGTTTGGGGTTGGGATAAGCACAGTGAGTGCGATACACGACAGCATCTGTGACAGTCACTTCCAAAACGAAACTGCTGTGAGTACACGTACAAGTGACGGGCTGATAGGTGCAAGTCGGTGCTTCCTGAAATGTGAGCTGCGAAGCGCAAGCAGCCAAAGCTGGGAAAGAGGCCAGGGAGTGTCCAATTATGCAATTGGAGTTTGTTTTGAAGATGGCTAGCTACATTCAGAGCAGCGCTTTCAAGATAATTTTGATTTCCAGTATTGTTGGTCAGAGATGCATGCAGCACAACCCCCCAGCGCGAAAGGGACCCTAATACGACATAAAGTGCCTAAGTCACACCCCCAAATTTCATACAGTAGCTTCAGGTGGAAAACCAGCAAGTCTGTTTTGGCTGGCTGGCACCATGTCAGACCAGATGCCTGCGCATGGGATTGCTCACTGCCAAACCGCACTGTCGCAGCTGCTGGACAAGTGGTAACACCTGCCAAGTTGCTTGCCTACCAATTGGTTGGTTTCCCACTCTCCTCCCCACAAGCACCTCGACTGTGTATTACAGTATATGTAACCGTTGTAAAGACTGCACATCGTTAAAATCATTCACTGTAGCGAAGCATTTAAATCAGTATTCAATAGTTTTGGCATCTTCTGAGTTGAATACTACAATCAGCACATCATTAAAATCAGAATAAAAACAACACATACGGGTTTACTGTGCATATTAACATTGAATTGATTAATAAAATGAAGTTATATCATGCATGATCATAAGCTGAATGTATTTTCCCTCCACTTACTGGTCATGAAACCTACTACCTGAGCAATGTTTCTAAATTCGATTATGATTATGGCGAAGTAATAACAGCTCAGCACTCCCCGACGCTGACGCAGCAACACGTCCGCGCTAATAGCCCATCCGCTGCAGCCGTTTTCTTACGCGGCCCGCCGCTGATTTCCCAATCAGGCATTGCAAACACTCACTGAGGGTGGGTCACAAAAGTATATCAGAAGCGGTTAGACACGATATTGTGCAATCTGAGGCGGTTACTTGAAACTCTACCGACCCCCCCTCACTCCCCCCTGCCCCTTCCCTTTCCCCCTTCACTCTCAAACTCGCCTGCCCCACGATTGTCACTTCCTTCCCAGCCAGACACCACCACACCGCACCACACCAACGCCCCCAATCTAATCTTCTGCTCCTCCTGACCAGTGACCAGTCAGCAGTCAGTCAGAGCAGCAACCAAGCAGCCAAGCCGTCAATCGCTCTCCCGCATCCCATCCAACCAATCACAGCGAGCAGCGCAGACCAGCCATCCGCCGTCAGACCCGTCGAGCCCGCGCCGCGCCTCTCCCAGCAGCTTCCGCTATTAGCCGCTCACTTCCCCGCCGTCCCTTTCGCGGTCTGCGCTTTCCGCTCGTCCCGCCGCGCTCTCCGCATCTGCGTGCGCCTTACCCGAGCCGCTCGCCCACGCAGACTCTCCGCTGGTCGCTTTCCGTCCCGTCTCTCCTCCACTCATCGCGTTACACGTGGCAGTATTATCCCACCTCGTCAGAGAGGCGGTTCGAGCGCGGGCTCAATCTGCCGCTTCGCTCTCTTCCTACGGGGCCCTTCGACGGCCTGTTTCGCCGCACCTCGCGGCGCCGATAGCGGCGGGCGTAGAGCGTAGAAAAACGTCGCAGGCGTTGCGTTCATCGCCCGTCAAGTCTACCGTTGGTCGTCAAGTGTGCCGGTAGCTGTAAGCGAGCATGAGGGCGCTGGTGGCCGTGAAGCGCGTGATCGACTATGCCGCCAAGATCCGCGTCAAGGCGGACGGGGTGAGCTTATAGCGAGGCACGACTATAGCGGGGATAGGATTATCGCACGGATGGGATTTTATCACGGATAAGACTGTAGCGGGGATGGAACCATAGCAGAGAAACGGTCATTTCTCCTATTCCCCTACCTTCTGTTCCTCCTCTCCCTCCCCAACTCCTCCCCTCCTCTCTCCCTCTCCCCTCCCCCCGCCCCTCCTCTTCCCTCTCCCCTCTCTCTTTCCACGCGAGGTTTAAATTTAGTAAAAAGAGCTCACATCCCCATCCTCCTCTCCACTCCGTCCTTTTCCGTTCCCCCTGGCGGCCTGGGGGGGTATGGAGTGCCAGTCCTGGCCTGGGGGGGTATGGAGTGCCAGTCCTGGCCTGGGGGGGTATGGAGTGCCAGTCCTGGCCTGGGGGGGTATGGAGTGCCAGTCCTGGCCTGGGGGGGTATGGAGTGCCAGTCCTGGCCGGAGTGGAACAAGTGAGTGTAACATGTCACTAATCTCTTCTGGGAGGGGAGGGGGGGGGGGGGGGGGTTAGGGGGCACACGGCCCAACCCCCTCCTCTCCCTTCCGTATGGTCTCCCTCCCCCGTGTCTGCGCTTCTGTCTGCCTGCCTTACCCCTTCCTAACTCCCATCCCTCCCCATTTTGAGTGGAGTGGAGAAGGCGAGTGTGAAGATGTCAATGAGTTGCCTTTGCGAGGCCGCGCTGGAGGAGGGCAGTCAGTCAACCCAAGTCCACTGCTCTCCTTTCTCCTCTCCCCACTCCCCCCCCGCTATCCCTCCCACCAGTCCGGAGTGGAGAAGGCGAGTGTGAAGATGTCAATGAGCCCCCTCTGTGAGATCGCAGGGGAGGAGGCGGTACGGCTCAGCTCACTGCTCCCCTTTTCCCCTGTGTCTGCGCTTCTGCCTGACTGTCTTCCCCTCCTCCCCTCCCGTCCGGGGTGGAGAAGGCGAGTGTGAAGATGTCAATGAATCCCTTGTGTAAGATCGCAGGGGAGGAGGCGATACGGCTCAACGCCTTCCTCCCCCTGTGTCCCTGCTTCTGCCTGCCTGTGTCCCTGCTCGTGTCCCCATCCCTATCACAACCAGTCTGGGGTGGAGAAGGCAAGTGTGAAGATGTCAATGAACCCCTTCTGTGAGATTGCAGTGGAGGAGGCCATACGGCTGAGCCCTCTGCTCTTCCTCCCTTTCCCCTCCTCGCCCCTTCCCCAATCAGTCCGGAGTGGAGAAGGCGAGTGTGAAGATGTCAATGAATCCCTTCTGTGAGATCGCAGTGGAGGAGGCCATACGGCTGAGCCCTCTGCTCTTCCTCCCTTTCCCCTCCTCGCCCCTTCCCCAATCAGTCCGGAGTGGAGAAGGCGAGTGTGAAGATGTCAATGAATCCCTTCTGTGAGATCGCAGTGGAGGAGGCCATACGGCTGAGCCCTCTGCTCTTCCTCCCTTTCCCCTCCTCGCCCCTTCCCCAATCAGTCCGGAGTGGAGAAGGCGAGTGTGAAGATGTCAATGAATCCCTTCTGTGAGATCGCAGTGGAGGAGGCCATACGGCTGAGCCCTCTGCTCTTCCTCCCTTTCCCCTCCTCGCCCCTTCCCCAATCAGTCCGGAGTGGAGAAGGCGAGTGTGAAGATGTCAATGAACCCCTTCTGTGAGATCGCAGTGGAGGAGGCCATACGGCTGAGCCCTCTGCTCTTCCTCCCTTTCCCCTCCTCGCCCCTTCCCCAATCAGTCCGGAGTGGAGAAGGCGAGTGTGAAGATGTCAATGAATCCCTTCTGTGAGATCGCAGTGCAGGAGGCCATACGGCTGAGCCCTCTGCTCTTCCTCCCTTTCCCCTCCTCGCCCCCTCCCCAATCAGTCCGGAGTGGAGAAGGCGAGTGTGAAGATGTCAATGAATCCCTTCTGTGAGATCGCAGTGGAGGAGGCCATACGGCTGAGCCCTCTCTGCTCTTCCTCCCTTTCCCCTCCTCGCCCCTTCCCCAATCAGTCCGGAGTGGAGAAGGCGAGTGTGAAGATGTCAATGAATCCCTTCTGTGAGATCGCAGTGGAGGAGGCCATACGGCTGAGCCCTCTGCTCTTCCTCCCTTTCCCCTCCTCGCCCCCTCCCCAATCAGTCCGGAGTGGAGAAGGCGAGTGTGAAGATGTCAATGAATCCCTTCTGTGAGATCGCAGTGGAGGAGGCCATACGGCTGAGCCCTCTGCTCTTCCTCCCTTTCCCCTCCTCGCCCCTTCCCCAATCAGTCCGGAGTGGAGAAGGCGAGTGTGAAGATGTCAATGAATCCCTTCTGTGAGATCGCAGTGCAGGAGGCCATACGGCTGAGCCCTCTGCTCTTCCTCCCTTTCCCCTCCTCGCCCCTTCCCCAATCAGTCCGGAGTGGAGAAGGCGAGTGTGAAGATGTCAATGAATCCCTTCTGTGAGATCGCAGTGGAGGAGGCCATACGGCTGAGCCCTCTGCTCTTCCTCCCTTTCCCCTCCTCGCCCCCTCCCCAATCAGTCCGGAGTGGAGAAGGCGAGTGTGAAGATGTCAATGAATCCCTTCTGTGAGATCGCAGTGGAGGAGGCCATACGGCTGAGGGAGAAGGGGGCGATCAAGGAGGTCGTGGCCGTCAGCCTGGGCGTGCAGCAGTGCCAGGACACGCTCAGGTGAGGTCAGCAGTGCCAGGACACGCTCAGGTGAGATCAGCAGTGCCAGGACACGCTCAGGTGAGTGAGACGAGTGCTGGGCTAGATGAGTTTTAAACAGGTACAGCGTGGTGGAAATGGGTCAACTCACCTCGGTAAAGGGAAAAGGGGGCGGACAGGGCGGAAGTGGTGAAGGTGGACGGCACGGGACAGCACAGCACAGCACAGCACAGCACAGCACAGCACAGCACAGCACAGCACAGCACAAGAGGAGGCATTCAAGCCTCTTCCTCTCCACCGCTCACCCCTTGCTCTCTGCTGCTCCGTCCCTGATTGTGTGTGTTGTGTGCAGAACCGCTCTCGCGATGGGGGGGGAGAGGACAGAGCGGTACTGGTGAAGGAGGATGCCGCACAGGAGGAGGCGTTGGAGCCTCTTTCCCCACCGCTCACCCCTTGCTCTCTGCTGCTCTTCCCCTGCTTGAGGGTGTTGTGTGCAGAACCGCTCTAGCCATGGGAGCAGACAGGGCGGTACTGGTGAAGGTGGATGCGGCACAGGAGGAGGCGTTGGAGCCGTTGATCGTCGCTAAGCTGCTCAAAGGGGTTGCTTTGAAAGAGACGGCTGATATGGTGTTCCTGGGGAAGCAGGTGAGATGGCTGATATGGTGTTGGTGGGGAAGCAGGTGAGATGGCTGATATGGTGTTGGTGGGGAAGCAGGTGAGATGGCTGATATGGTGAGATGGCTCAAAGGGTTTGATCTACTCAAAGGGGTTGATCTACTCAAAGGGGTTGATCTACTCAAAGGGGTTGAGCTACTCAAAGGGGTTGAGCTACTCAAAGGGGTTGAGCTACTCAAAGGGGTTGAGCTACTCAAAGGGGTTGAGCTACTCAAAGGGGTTGAGCTACTCAAAGGGGTTGATCTACTCAAAGGGGTTGAGCTACTCAAAGGGGTTGAGCTACTCAAAGGGGTTGAGCTACTCAAAGGGGTTGAGCTACTCAAAGGGGCTGAGCTACTCAAAGGGGTTGAGCTACTCAAAGGGGTTGAGCTACTCAAAGGGGTTGAGCTACTCAAAGGGGTTGAGCTACTCAAAGGGGTTGAGCTACTCAAAGGGGTTGAGCTACTCAAAGGGGTTGAGCTACTCAAAGGGGTTGAGCTACTCAAAGGGGTTGAGCTACTCAAAGGGGTTGAGCTACTCAAAGGGGTTGAGCTACTCAAAGGGGTTGAGCTACTCAAAGGGGTTGAGCTACTCAAAGGGGTTGAGCTACTCAAAGGGGTTGAGCTACTCAAAGGGGTTGAGCTACTCAAAGGGGTTGAGCTACTCAAAGGGGTTGAGCTACTCAAAGGGGTTGAGCTACTCAAAGGGGTTGAGCTACTCAAAGGGGTTGAGCTACTCAAAGGGGTTGAGCTACTCAAAGGGGTTGAGCTACTCAAAGGGGTTGAGCTACTCAAAGGGGTTGAGCTACTCAAAGGGGTTGAGCTACTCAAAGGGGTTGAGCTACTCAAAGGGGTTGAGCTACTCAAAGGGGTTGAGCTACTCAAAGGGGTTGAGCTACTCAAAGGGGTTGAGCTACTCAAAGGGGTTGAGCTACTCAAAGGGGTTGAGCTACTCAAAGGGGTTGAGCTACTCAAAGGGGTTGAGCTACTCAAAGGGGTTGAGCTACTCAAAGCAAAGGGGGGTTGAGCTACTCAAAGGGGTTGAGCTACTCAAAGGGGTTGAGCTACTCAAAGGGGTTGAGCTACTCAAAGGGGTTGAAGCTACTCAAAGGGGTTGAGCTACTCAAAGGGGTTGAGCTACTCAAAGGGGTTGAGCTACTCAAGGGGTTGAGCTACTCAAAGGGGTTGAGCTACTCAAAGGGGTTGAGCTACTCAAAGGGGTTGAGCTACTCAAAGGGGTTGAGCTACTCAAAGGGGTTGAGCTACTCAAAGGGGTTGAGCTACTCAAAGGGGTTGAGCTACTCAAAGGGGTTGAGCTACTCAAAGGGGTTGAGCTACTCAAAGGGGTTGAGCTACTCAAAGGGGTTGAGCTACTCAAAGGGGTTGAGCTACTCAAAGGGGTTGAGCTACTCAAAGGGGTTGAGCTACTCAAAGGGGTTGAGCTACTCAAAGGGGTTGAGCTACTCAAAGGGGTTGAGCTACTCAAAGGGGTTGAGCTACTCAAAGGGGTTGAGCTACTCAAAGGGGTTGAACTACTCAAAGGGGTTGAGCTACTCAAAGGGGTTGAGCTACTCAAAGGGGTTGAGCTACTCAAAGGGGTTGAGCTACTCAAAGGGGTTGAGCTACTCAAAGGGGTTGAGCTACTCAAAGGGGTTGAGCTACTCAAAGGGGTTGAGCTCAAGGAGACAGCCAACCAGGTTTTCCTGGGAAAGCAGGTATGATGAGTGCCAGTGGTGGTAATATAAGGTAAGTAATGGTGCTGCTGATAGTATCGTCACAGGAGGAGGCACTGGAGCCGTTGATCGTGGTGAAGCTGCTCAAAGGGGTTGCGCTCAAGGAGACAGCTGACCTGGTGATCCTGGGGGTATTCAGTACGGATGGTGTTCCTATGTGAGAGGGCAGGTGGTGGTATTCAGGTGGTACGGATTGAAGCTGCTCAAGCACGGTCTCATCTCAAGTCACAGCAGGCATCAGTACGGTCCGAAGCTACTCAAAGGAGTTGCTCTCAAGGAGACGGCTGATATGATGTTCCTGGGGAAGCAGGCGAGGAAAAGTGAAGTCACTATATACTGTGCTGGTGGTGGTGGTGGTGGTGGCGGCGGCGGCGGCGAAGCCAGACGGGGCAGATGGCGGCGGCTCTCCTATTCTCCCTCCCCACCTCGTAACTAGGTCACACAACCTCGTTCTCCTCTTTTTTATCCCTCCCCTCCCATGCAGACAGTAGTCAACGACCGCAACCAGCCGGGGCAGATGCTCGCTGCGTTGCGTCCACTCTTCTCGTCCCTCTCGCCCCACTCGTCTCCACCCTCTCCTCCCTCCACCTCCCCCTTCCAGGCAATAGATGACGACCGCAACCAGCCGGCGCAGATGCTGGCAGTGCTGCTGGACTGGCCCCTTGTTACCGCACTCGTCCGCTCCACTCTTTCCGTCCCCCTTACTCCGTTTGTCTCCCACCTCTCCCTCCTCTCCGCCCACCAGGCAATAGACGACGACTGCAACCAGACGGGGCAGATGCTGGCAGCGCTGCTGGACTGGCCGCAAGCCACCTTCGCCTCCAAGGTACACCCCGGTTCTCTCAGACGTATCGGTTACATGCTGACTGCCTTGGGTCACATGACTGCCAATGCAGATGCTGCAAGCCAATGCAGAGATGCAATTACCACGTGATGGGGGAAGCGAGATGCCGTATGAGCCTTGTCATGGCTGTGTGCACTATGTGGGTGCACACCACATGGGTATCGAGCTAGCACGTGCTGCCTGTGCGTCCTTTCAAAGATGATTCCTCGAGAATCCAACACACACGCTCTTGTATGGCTTGGCTGGCGCACTAAACCCTTGCCTCTGCTCTTTCCTCGCCCCTTGCCCTGTCGTCACCCCTCTTGCCTCTGCTTGCCGCTCCTCCCCTCGACACCCTTCCCGCCCCACAACACAGGTGGTGCTGGATGCGGCAGCTCGCAGCGCGCAGGTCACCCGGGAGATTGACGACGGGTTAGGACGCCCGTATCACCCATTGCCTCCTCGCCCCTCGCCCCTTCCTACCCCTGCTCTGCTCGCCCTTCGCCCCACAACACAGGTGGTGCTGGACACGGCTGCTCGCAGTGCGCAGGTCACCAGGGAGATTGACGATGGCCTTGAGACAGTCAGCCTTAAGCTGCCAGCTGTCATCACGTGAGTGGTGCATTGCAGGGACTCTCAGGGTTAAAAACATGTCAGCTAAAATCTCAGAAATGATTCGGAGACTTGTCTTTCTTAACCTCTGGGCTGCTAATTATTCTCAAAAGTGATATCTGGACCAATGTTCAAATCTAGATGGGAGGGGACTGGCCTGTTTGTCAGTGGTGCACTCCAGTCTGTGCCACCCGCACGGTGCACGTGGTGGGGGTGAGGGAGGGAGGCGCATCAGCACCTCCTAAATCACCTGTCCCACTCTCTTGCTGCCTTCTTCCTCCCCTCTCCCCCCTCCCCTCCCTCACCTCCCTCCCCCAGCACCGATCTACGACTGAACGAGTCACGCTACGCCACGCTGCCCAACATCATGAAGGCCAAGAAAAAACCCATCAGCGTGCTCTCTGGCTGCCTTCCATTCCTCCTTTCCACCAACCAACCTCCTCCTCCACCCCTTTCCCCCCATTCCCCCCACACCACAGGTCCGGTCTCCAGTTGAACGAGCCATGCTATGCCACACTCAAGGTGAATCAACAGTCACCTTGAGAGAAGGAGCCGCCTCAGCGCCTGTCCCCCTCTTCCCCTCCTCTTGATGCTTTCTTCCTCCCTTCTTTCCCCCCCTCTGCCCTCATCACCTCAGCACGGACCTACGGCTGAACGAGCCACGGTACGCCACGCTGCCCAACATCATGAAGGCAAAGAAGAAGCCCATCGCTGTGCTCTCTCCCTCCGACTTCGGGCTTGACCTTGCAGACCCGGCCACCCGCAGGGTGCACGTGGTGGGGGTGAGGGAGCCGCCTGCGCGTGTGGGGGGACGGATCCTGGGGAGTGTGGATGAGCTGTTGGATAAACTCAAGAACGAGGCCAAGGTTCTGTGAGGCAGCTCATGGATTGTAATGGAGGGCTTGTAACGAGGATGAGGTGCTTGTGGTGGTGATGCAGGTGATGGGGGTGGGGGAGGCACCTGTGCGAGTGGGGGGCCGGATCCTGGGGAGTGTGGAGGAGCTGTTGGATAAACTCAAGAACGAGGCCAAGGTGCTGTAGGGAGTACGGAGGTCTTGTAACAGGGGATGGAATGTGCATGCTAGTTTGATGGATATAGTTTATGAACAAGCATGGATACTGTTTCAGGAATTGTTGTCAAGTAATGATTCTGATGCTTGGAAGTCATGCACCAACATAAAATATCACACCCTGGCACTTGCCTCCATGCAGTCTTGAGAAAATATATAGGGTATTGTATGATACCCCAATAAGGACGTAATAACCTATGTGCACGTTTTCATAACGAGCACATTACCTATGCGGTATGCAATGCAGTGCATTGAGCACGAGGCGAACACGAACATCAATGCATACGCCATGCGGTTTTGCCTAGCTATCTCCGAACAGCTAAGAACGAGAGTAGAAGTCGAGGTCAAAAGACTGGTAGCTAGCTAAACGCGAGAGTAGAGGCTGTTCGGAGCTAGCTAGGCAACGACCCGTTCGAGAAATCCCGTGGATACCGAATTCCGTCCTGTTACACCAGCCCGCGAGTTGTTTCCTTTTCGTAAGCACGAAGATATGAAATCATGGCGACAACAGGGCGACACCGGCGTGTCGCGTTTGGCAGAATTTGGCAGCGTTTCGCAGTTTTAGGAGCGATAGAGGAGTCCGTGTGGCCAGCGTTGCACTGGGGCCCGGCCACTATGAAAGGCGCTCAAGCGATAGAGGAGTCCGTGTGGCCAGCGTTGCACTGGGGCCCGGCCACTATGAAAGGCGCTCAAGCAACTATCTGGCCACACGGACTCCTCTATCGCTCCTAAAACCCCCTCTCTTTTCTCTCTCGAGTTCCTATCTACTTTTGGCACAGAGTAGTAGCATTAGCAGTGTTCTCTCCACCGTAAGCTGATCTACTTGCGGAGCTCGGGAATCTTGCAATGGCGTTCGTCAACGGGAGCTGCATCTGCCTGCTGCTGCTACTGCTGCTTCTTCTCGCGGGTAAGTAAATGCCAGCGGTCTGTCCCCCCCTGCTGCTTCTGCTACTTCTCTCCACCATGCTGCTCCTGCTCTCCTCGCAAGTGACCGGAGCTCTCGAAACGTCCGCCGCATTCGTATCAGTAATGATCATCTCGTGCCTTCCCGCGCCCTCTCATGTGCTCTGCTGTGCTGTGCTGTGCTGTGCTGTTCTGTGCGTTGCTGTGCTGCGCGGTGCCGTTGTGCGGTGCTGCTGCAGGCTCCCTGGACACTCCGTGGACACTGCTTCTCTCGCAGTAAGCTCCGTTTCTTCATTTGTTCGTGCCTCACTGCGTTTATTTGTGCCACTATGCTTTTTTTTCACGCAACAAACCCTTTTGCATTCAATTTCTTGATCCGTTTGCGCCATCTACGCTTGAGTGCACTCTTCCCCCCGCCCTGAGTGCACTCTTCCCCCCGCCCTGAGTGCGCTCTTCTTCCCCCTTACCCCCATAAATGCGCTCTTCCCCCCGCTTCCCCTTGAAGTGCGCTACCCCTCCCTCCTCCAGGTCGCTAGGACGGTGGAGGGTGAAGAGGAGTCTCTCGACTCTTCCCCCTCAGTGCGTCCCCCCCCCCCCCCCCCCCCCCCCCCCCCCCCCACAATTCCCTTCCGCCAGGATGCCAAGACGGTGGTGGTGGGGTGGAAGGACCAGGGCTGGAGCCCCAGCGTGCGCACGTGGCAGCCTCCCCTTGTCAACGATGGTGACGTTCTTGGTCAGTACGTGTCAGTACAAGACAGGTGGGCTGCGGAGGCCTTACATCCGTGAGTTTCATCGTGCGCGCATGTCAGCCCCCACTGGTCAATGTTGGCGACGTTCTTGGTCAGTCGTTCCGGCTTTCCTGCTGTCTGCTCCTCTTCACTCCTACCCAAACCCTTTCCTCTCTTCTCCTGCTCACTCTCAGACGTCGTCTTCTGAGTCGACTCAAACCACGCGCCTTTCATCCGCAACCCCCATGCCCGTGTGCCTGCAGTGTTCAAGTGGAACGACTGGAGGCAGGAGCACAATGTGGTGGCTGTCTGTGGATCGCAATTGCATCTTGCTCTGCTACTCTCTCGCTCTTGCACTTGGCTTTTTATCTCCCCAACCCCCATGCCCGTGTGGCTGCAGTGTTCAAGTGGAACGACCCAGTGCACGAGCACAATCTGGTGAAAGTGGATCCCAATCGCTTCTTGCTCTGCCCCTCTGGCAGGAATGGCCCGTGCATGACTCAAAACACCCTCTCCCTCTCTCTCTCTCTCTCTCTCTCGCTCATGCTCTCCCCCAACCCAGTGTTCAAGTGGAACGACACGAGGCATGAGCACAATGTGGTGGAAGTGGATCCCAATCGCTTCGTCTCATGCTACTTCGGAAAAGCTGGCGCTCCCATGATTGTGCTCTCCAAGACCTCAAAGCAAGGCGTGGTCACGACAACCCTATCGGGTCCTGTCGGGTACACCAGCAGCGTTGCCAACGACTGCAAGAGAGGCATGAAAGTTGCCTTCCTTCCTATACCCCGTATTCTCGAGGATTCTAAATAAAATCATGATGCATCCAGTGCAAGCTGAGGAGTACGGGTTATCTGTTGGGAATGTGAGTGGGTTTCATATACGTATGGATTTCATACATTCTGCCGTGTTCATGGATTTCTACATTTAGGATATTTTGGTCCACAATTTTCACACAAAATACCAACAGGCATACCCTACAATCTGTTATTGTTGGTGGTACCAGAGATACCCTACAAGTTTAACCCCATATGAACGTATAAGCATTATATATAACACAGCACTAAACAAATTCACAACCTAAGCCTATAGATAGGCAGGTTTGTGTTGGAAATCCGAATACAGTATAACGAATACTGTATACCAATGTGCTGTTTGGTTTTAGTATAGTCCCTTTTATAAGCCTCCATGTCCTACAATAATTGTCATAATTATTGTAGGGCTAGAATTATTGGAGGTCAGCATTATTGGAGGGTAGAGGGTACAATTATTGGTAGACCATTATTGGTGTGAATGGGTCATTCTGGAGGGGTAGCTGGATGCATATATACCCTGATGTGTCACTTATTCATCATCATTGAGTCATCATTGTGCTATCATTCTACTTTTCAATTATCAATGCAAGGTTTCTATCTTGTACTTTTCTACAAACACGTTTCCACTGTCAAAGTATATACATGTTATATATGTGTAGGCTGTAGTGAGGTAGCCAATATGGGGTACAGCCCCGTCTAGAGTTTCATACTTGTACCCAACTCTTCCATAGTGCATTCATTTTTTCCTGTCTCTAGATTCTAACATGGTTTCAGAGCTGTAGGTCCGTAGGACCGTCTTTTTTTTCGGGCCCACCTACCGCTACCCCACGACTGTGACTGTGCCTGTGACGTGCTGCGCTGCACACGCCGTCTGCCTGCTGCCTGCTGCCTGCTGCCTGCTGTCTGCTGACTGAGCGGTCTGCTGCTGCTTAGAGCGTGCAGACCTGATTCCTGCACGCAGCCCGGTTTTTGCCCCGCGCGTCGCCCAAGCTGCCAGAGTCGCGCCTCGGCAGCCCGCGCGCGGCTCGCGCTGCTCCGCGCGCCGCGTCCGCAGCCTGCGCTGCTTGCTGCAGCCCCGCGCGTCGCGTCCGCTGCCTACGCGTCGCGCTGCAGCCCCGCGGGCCGCGGCTGCCGTCCTCGCGCAGCCCGCTGCGGCTTCGCGCGCCGCGCCCGCAGCTCGCGTAGCCCGTTGCAGCCCCGCGCGCTGCGGCTGCCCCTGCTCGTCGCGGCGCCCCCCCCTGGACGTCGCCCCAGCCTGTCGCGACACCCCCCCCCTAGACGCCGCCCCTGCCTGATTGCCGCCGTCGCTCCTGCAGCAGCTGCCGCGGAGCACCCTGCCACGGTCTCGGCCCCGCCCTGCAGAAGCTGCCGCGGAGCCTCCTGCTGCTGTCGCGGCCCCGCCCTGCAGCAGTTCGCGCGGCCCCATCATGCAGCAGTCCTCGCGGCCCCGCCCTGAAGCCGTCACGGCCCCGCCCTGTAGCAGGTGTCGCGGACCTGCCCTATCTTTGACGCGGCCCTGCTCTGCAACAGCTGACGCGGCCCTACTTTGCAGCCGCTGTTGCGGCCCTGCCGTCGCTGCCGTCGTGCGCCTACCCTGCAGCCGCCCGCCGAGCGCCGGCCTGCTCGCCCGGCGAGCGCCTGCCCTTCCCGCCACTAGTGAGCACCTGCCCTACCTGTGCCTCCCGCACGCCTGCCTTGTTAGCACGCTGCTGTGCCACCTGCCTGCCTGCCTACCAGCCTGCCTACCTGCCTGCCGCGCTTGCCCTGCCCGCGCTACTACTGCTGCTACTTCTTTTACTGCTACTAGGCTGTTGCTGCTCCTGCTGCTGCTGCTGCTGCTGCTGCTGCTGCTGCTGCTGCTGCTGCTGCTGCTGCTGCTGCTGCTGCTGCTGCTGCTTCTACTGCTGCTGCTATTGGCGGTGGCCAGATGCAGCTCCAGCGACGTCCGCGCGAGTCTCTCATGTGCCAACAGCTTCGTGAGTGGTACGCTAGTTGGGGTTGTGGCGGTAGCCGTCGTGGTTGTCGCCCTTGAGCTGGTCAGTCGGGAGCGTCTGGCACCGGCTAGCTGCAGCTGCAACGGCGTTCGCGCGAGACACTTACGCCGCAGCAGCTTCGTGAGTGGTACGCTTAGAGTAGAGGGTCTTGGAGTACCGTTCGCTGCCCGTACGTCATTTGTACAGGTGATCGGGCTGGTCAAGCTTGCGGGACACTTGGTCACACACAGTCCCGCTGCTTCGCCCGTCGGAGCGACGCATGGCGTACCAAGTTTGGCGACGAGGCTAAGCTCCCCACCTGGCTGGAGCTACTTAGGCAGAGTTGTCAGATATATATGACATAGCTATTGTAGGCTATAGTGGGGTAGCACATATGGGGTACAGCTTTCTAGGGTTTGCATTTTTACCCAACTTTCACTTAGTGATTTCATCCTCGTTCTCGTTTTCACATGGTATCAGAGCAGTGGACGGACACAGAGACATCTGGTGCGTGCCAGGGACAGGAGGAGGACGCTGACGCAAACCGCGACCACTAGCACGAGCAACACGAACAGGCGACGCGGGACGAGACGCAGGCTCACGACGCTCAACAAGACCTCCAGTAGGACCAGTGTAAGGAGAGGGAGCAGGCAGTGGGGAGGCGAGCTCTAACTGTGACTAAGACTGGACAGGCAGAGGACGCTCTACAGGAGGAGAAAGACCAAGAACCTGCTGCAGGAGTGGAACGAAGTACGGCCGAGGCCGCGCGGGGACTCCAGACACAGCAGGGACAGCACCATCACCTTCAACGGCTGCACCAGCGCCAACAGCACCTCCAGCGGCAGGACCTCCAGCAGCACCAGCACCAGGACCACCGCCAGGACAGACAGTAGCAGTCTCAGCACCAACACCCTCAGCAGCTCCAGCTCCAGTAGGACCCGCAGGCCCAGCAGCTCCGGGACCGGCAGCACCAGCACCCTCAGCGGCCGAAGAAGGTCCGGCTCCAGCAGTACGCCTCCAGCGACGAGCAAACCACTCGCGCAGCTCCTGTGGAGAGAGTGGCTCCAGCCGAGATAGAGCACCCGGAGAACCTCCAGGCCCAGCACCGCCAGACGCCAGAAGGGGAGGTCCAGCGGTGGCAGGCTCCGCACCCCCAGGCTCAGCAGCTCTACACGCACCACCCTCAGGCTCAGCAGCTCTAGACGCAGCACCCCCAGGCTCAGCAGCTCCTGACGTAGCACCCCCAGACTCAGCACCCCTAGGCTGAGCACCCCAAGTCGCAGTACCCGCGAGCTCAGCACCCCCAGGCTCAGGACCCCAAGTCGCAGCACCCCCAGACTCAGCACCCCCAGACTCAGCACCCACGCGGACGATACCCCCAGAGTACGCACCCCCAGGCTCAGCACCCGCAGCAGTACCAGAGTCACCAGCAACCTCGACCGGCTCGACTGCGTCAACCTGGGACACACCTGAAGGGGCAGGACCCTGAGGGGGAAGGGGGTCTACCGGGGGGGGGACCTGGCACAAGGAAGTGTGGCGGCGGGGGGAGGGAAGGAGTACGGTAGGGGAAGAGACGGTAGAACGGGACGGACTCGTCAAACGTGACATCCTGGGAGGACGGAACACGACGAGAGGAGGGGTGGTAGAACTGCCACTCTGGAGCGTCAGATGGGAAGCCAAGGAAGACACACGGAGCAGCACGAGGGGATAGCTTGTCCGCAGACAAGTCGCGGACAAACGCCCGAGATCCCCAGACACGGAACGCAGACGCATCGCCGACCTTCCCCGTCCACAGCAGAGCTGGGGAGGTACGGACCTTCCCCGGCCGAGAGACCCCGGGGTGAAGGTTGATCTGATGCGCCGCGTACCGAACCGCAAACGGCCACAGAAAATGGGGGGCAGCCGCATGCATCATGGACGTACGAGCGACGTCCATGACCATGCCAATGCGGCGCTCAGAAATCCCATTTTGCTGTGGAGAGTCTGGAAGGGTAAAGGTCTGGCGGATGCCTCGTGCACGACAGTAGGCTTGCATAGGGTCAGAGGAGAACTCTCCACCTCGGTCAGAGTGCAGACGCAGAACAGGAAAGTCCGAGCCGAAGCTCCTCCTGAGCTGGAGACGAGCTGCGCGGATCCAGTCGATCAACACCTCAGTGACATCACCCTTGTTGCGCAAGGGGAAGACAGTGGTGTAACGCGAGTAGTCGTCAACCACCAGCAGGAAGTAGCGCTCGTCACAATGTCCACGGACGCGGGCCGGGCCCCACACGTCCATGTGAAGCGTCTGCAGAGGAGCCTCCGCCGGAGGAAACTGGGAGGAGTGAGGGGCAGCCCAGAGCCGCCCCTCGACACAGGGGACACAGGAAGGTCCACGCCCCAAAGGAAGGGGAGGGAGAGACCGGGGGAGACCAGAGACAAGGACACAGGAAGCCATGTCCCGAAGACGAGGCAAGGATGGGTGGCCAAGACGGTGGTACCACAGGAGAGTCTCGTGAGACAGGAGGCGACACGAGCAGGGGGCAGACTTAGGACCAGACCTGGACGCAGCAGCAAACACCTGACCCGACGCAGCTACCTGGCCAGACGCAGGGACAGGAGGAGACTCAGTGGTCAGGGTGTAGAGACTCGACCTCGGCCGACGCGAAAACGTGGCCAGGTGTCGGCCTGTGCGGGCGTCCGAGCAGTGGGTCACCCGCTGACTCGCAGGAGTAAACTGGTGAACCACCGCATCCTGCAGGTCAGCACCACTCACCAAGTTCGTCGAGAACGAGGGGAGGCACAGACCAGACAGGGTGCCCGAGGGGGCAGCCGGACACGGGAGGACAGTGGAGAAGTGAGAGAGGACAGGACCCCTAGAGGGGTCAGCAAGGGAGACTGCAACCGGCCGACCAAGCGGCGTGAGTGTGGTGCGGTCTCGAAAGAAGGAGCGAGAAGCCCCTGAGTCAAGTGTGAAGGTGAGGGAGGCCGAAGCCAACGCAGTACCTGAGAGCGCAGCCTCACCAGTACCTGAGAGTGAGACGCACTG